CCTCCTCCTCCTCCTCTTCCTCCTCCTCCTCCTCGTCCTCCTCCTCATTATCTATATTATTACTAGTGGTAGTATTAGTAGTAGTGGTATTGTTATGATTCATAGTATTAGTAGTAGCAGTAATGCTATTACTAGATTAGTCGTATTATTGTTACTAGTATTGGTAGTATCATTATGAGTGGTATTACTAATATTACGTTGATTAGTAGTATTGGTTTTTATTGGTACTGTGATCAATACTAATACGACTACAATTACTACTGTTATTACTACTACTACTACTACTACTACTACTACTACTACTACTACTACTACTACTACTACTACTAATACTACTACTACTACTACTACTACTTACTACTTACTACTACTACTACTACTACTACTGCTACTGTGCGCTGCTGCTACTACTACTACTACTACTACTTACTACTACTGCTGCTACTGCTACTACTACTACTACTACTACTACTGCTACTACTACTACTACGACGACTACTACTACTACGACTACTACAACTACTACTGCTGCTACTACTACTACTACGACGACGACTACTATTACTATTACTACGACTACGACTACGACTACTACTACTACTACTACTACTACTACTACTACTACTACTACTACTTCTTCTTCCATTACTACTACGACTACTACTACTACTACTACTACTACTACTACTACTACTACTACTACTACTACTACTACTACTACTACTACTACGACTAATAGTATTATGACTAATTGTATTGCCATGACTAGTATTTTTTCTCCATGTGAGAAAGATTGTTGCTAAAAGTATTCTGAATATTGGTATCATTCTTCTCATTGCTTAAAATATCAACAGCAACATCATCAGCATCGTCATCAGCAACATCATCAACAGCAGCATCACCATCATTAGTATCAGCGTTAGTTTCAGTCTTAGTCGTATTGCTATTGGCATTCGTATCATTATTACTGTTATTGTTAGTACTAGTATGGGGCCTAATAGTATTGGTAATAGTTTTGGTATGCTTATTATTAGCGTCGTTCTTATTCTTACTACAAAAGCATATTAGTATTGCTCGCCGTCTTAACTTTAGTATTACTATGATTGTAATTCTTATGATTAATACTAATGTTATTAGTATATGTAATATTATTAGTGTGCTTCGTAGTGTTAACCGGGTAAGTAATATTATTATGAGTAGTATCACTATGCCTGTTCGCCTTTTGACGATTATTGGTTGTAAAAACATATTCGCATGATTAGCATTCTTCTTACTATTATATTTACTAGTGTTATTATTATGTATCCTCCTCCCTTTCCCCCCCTCATCCTCGTCGTCCTCCTCCTCCTCCTCGTCTTCTCCTCCTCCTCATCCTCCTTCTCCTCCTCTTCCTCCTCCTCCTCCTCCTTCTCCTCCGCCTCCTCGCCTCCTCTACCTCCTCGCCTCCTCCTCCTCCTTCTCCTCCTCCTCATCCTCATCCGAGGCCCCCTCCTCCTCCTCCACCTCCTCCTCCTCCCTTCTCTTCCTCCTCCTCCCCCTCCTCCTCCTCCTCCTCCTCTCCTCCTCCTCCTCTCCTCCTCCTCCTCCTCCTCCTCCCCTCTCCTCCTCCTCCTCCTCCTCCCCCCCCTCCTCCTGCTCCTCCTCCTCCTCCCTCCTCTCCCTCGTCCTCCTCTTCCGCTCCTCATCCGCCTCCTCCTCCGCCCCCTCATCGTCCTCTCCTCTTCCTCCTCCTCCTCCTCCGCCTCCTCCTCTTCCTCATCCTCCTCCTCCTCCTCGCCTCCTCTCCTCATCCTCCTCTTCCTCCTCTCCTCCCCCCCTCCTCCCCCTCCTCCTCCTCGTCCTCCTCATCCGCCTCCTCCTCCGCCTCCTCCTCCGCCCTTTCCTCCTCCTCCCTTCCTCCTCCTCCTCCTCCTCCCCCTCTCCTCCTCCGCTCCTCCTCCCCTTCCTCCTCCTCCGCCTCCTCCTCCTCCTCCTCCTCTCCTCCTCCTCTCCTCCTCCTCCTCCTCCTCCTCCTCCTCTACTCCTCCTCCTCTCCTCCTCCTCTCTCTCCTCCTCCTCCTCCTCCTCTCTTTCCTCCTCCTCTCCTCCTCCTCCTCCTCATCCCCTCCTCCTCCTCCTCCTCCTCCTCCTCCTCCTCCTCATCATCATCATCATCATCATCATCATCATCATCATCATCATCATCATCAGCAGCATCATCATCCCCCTCCTTCCTCCTCCTCCGTTCCTCTTCCTCATAAACAACTTGTCCCTGTCGCACCCCGAGGCCAGACGAAAGGGCAGGCCAGGCGTTGCGCCTGAGACTTCCACACCAACTATGACCCTGAAGCTGAAACAAGAAAAACTGCAGGGGCTTCAGGAATTCGGGGCGGGTGGCTTGAAACAGATGGCTCTCGCCTTAGCGCCGCGCACATTCGTGTGCAAAAAAGCAAGAGCTTCACGGACTGAAGGCGGGATGTTTTTTTTGATGTGGCTCTCGCCTTAGCGCCGCGCATACTCG